AATTACGCCACACGGCATGATTTGCATAAGACTATGGCTTGGGAATCACAGATTTGCATAATGTTATCGCTGGTGATCGCTAATTGGTCGGCTGGGAATCACGCCACATCACATTTGCATAGTGCTACGGTTCAGTAAGCACTAATTGGTCATCGAGCTCGATGTGGACACTATAAAAAGGTTAAGTTGAATGTGTCGCAAGGTGTTCTCTCGAACCTGTTTAGCGTATTGTTCAACAATAAATGTGAATTCGTCTTCATGGAAATATAAGACATCCCCTGAAAATAAGACCTAGTGCATTTTTTAGAGCAAAAATTAATATAAGACACTGTCTTATTTTCGGGGAAACACGGTAACATGTCATCCAATAAATAGATTTAAAAAAAGGTAGCTTTGATTCATTGCATGAATGTTTTACATAATTTAGAACAAATATACATTAATTAATCTTTATTTTTGCTAAATATCAACTTGATATCTTGCAAGTTTAATAAGATTGAGCCAGTCAAACTTGAGTCATAGGCATCAAAAAAAAAAAAAAAACATAGACCACTGCGTCACCCCCGTCAATGAACATAGACCACTGCATGTTTAATATTTTGTTGCATCACCTTTGCGGCCAAAACACCTTTCATATGTTTCGGCATGCTGTTGACTAGATGTTCACATTCATCCGCCGTTATGGAATTCCAGATAGTTAAGATAGAAGCTTTTGGTCCTTCAACTGTCCGAGGGCGTGTTTTTCGCAGATGTCTCTTCATAATGTTCAATACATTCTGAATTGGTGAAAGATCTGGGCTGTTGGATGGCCAAGGAAGAACTTCTATGTTCTTTTCTACAAGTCATTGTTTTATTTTTCTGCTTGTATGAGAAAATGCAGGTTCTATTTGGATATAGCTTTGCTATAGAGAGAAGTAAATACTGTTGTAGAATGTTAATGTGTTGCTCTGAAGCAAGTGTTCCATCAACAAATGTCAACTGACCCATACCTCTGGCGCTCATACCTCCCCAAACCATGAAGCTGGCAGGAAACTTCACTGACCCCCGTATTCACCAACACGAGTTAGAGTTAGAGTTAGGGTTAACTCTCGAGTTACTGGTAAATTGGTATTCACCAACTCCAAATCTCGAGTCAAACACAATAACCCTAACTCTAACTCTAGAAAATCGGCGAGTAGACGATAACTCTAGGTTTGACGCCTGCGCAAAGCGGTCTATTTCAGAGAAAAATGGCGACA